CAGCCCAAATACTAATTTTCTGAACACACAGCTTAAGTTGATTTTCTGAACACGCAGCCCAAGTTGAAGGTGAACACACAGCCCACACTGATTGAGAGTAGAACACGCAATTCGCTTACTTTTCTTCACACGCAGCCTATTTACTTGCACATAGCTTACTCATTTCATTGGCACACAGCTCGTTCATTTCATTGGCACACAGCTCATTCATTTCATTGGTACACAGCTCATTCATTTTTATACTGACACATGTATTCATTCTGAATGCAGGTTGGTTCTCGCACTGTGCGGGGATATGGCTCCACCGCTGCGAGAGATTGGTATACTGAGCTCCCGGAGGCTGTCCGGGATTTAGTAGATCTGGCGGGGTTCGGGGCCTTCTGCGTTGGGTTATCGCGTTGTCCTGCCAGGAGGATACTGATGGCAGCTTTGGTGGAGAGATGGTGGGACACCACGAACTCCTTTCATTTTTCCGCCACTGGGGATTTGACTATGACCCCGCTGGATTTTGCTGTATTGACTGGCCTAAACATAGGAGGTTGGCCCATTCCTTACGACGAGGACATGGGCGAATGGGAGGCTGCTTGGATACATTTGCTGGGGGCCCACCCGCCTGTTGACAGAGCTTTCGGGAGAGTCCGATATACCTGGTTCTCTTCCCATTTTCGGAGGGAGGAGATGGAGCCCGGGACTCCTGAGGAGGCAGAGCAGTATGCCCGTGGTTTTTTTATGTTCCTCTTCGGGACTACTCTGTTTGCCGATAGAGGGAACACGGTTGGGCTGTATCTGTTGAGCGCTCTGGTTGACCTATCACAGGTCGGTCGGTACGACTGGGGTGGCGCCGGCCTGGCTACCCTTTACTGTTACATGAGCGCGACCTCCCGCGGGCAGGGAGACTTACTTGGCGGTTATTAGAGAGCCTGGGAGGTACTTTCTGTCCTCTTGATTTACATTTCTGCTCCTCATTACTTGTACATTGCATACACAACGCACTTTACAGTCTGTATTTTGCCCTCAGCACTTTGTATTTACATTCTGCACTGCTTTTCTCAGTTATGGGTCTACGTATATTTCCCGATGTTAGCCCCAGAGTTGGAGGTGGCAGGGCCCCTCATGACCCCGTACTCACTGGTGTTCGAGAGCTAGCACCGGCCGAGACCCCGAGAGACTCTCTTTTATCTACGGCAGTATTTTGACTCTGTGTGAACGATGGAGGTATTTCAAAACTCTCAGTCCCTTCCATTTTCATCTTTGATTTGCCCCGCATATTCCCAATTGCTGATTGGTTTATGCACTTGTTATCCGCAGATTACATGGCAGCCCTGGGCACCCTTGGGTGATGGTCTCCGATTTCAGTATGCCGGAGGATCGGGCACCTCCCAGTACAGGATCCTGCTCGAAGGACCGGTTGGTAGAGCATGGTTTCTGGGGGAACGCTTTTTTGCGTCAGGTATGGGGGTACATTTCTCAGGACCCTCCCGCAGCACCCCCAGTCAGTATGCGGACTGCTAATAGGCTCTCTTCCCAGGATGTAGTCAGTGCTATGCTGGGTACTGATGCTTTGCTACATCTCGAGGAGGGAGATTACGCCACTTACCGTCATACATACATGATGCCTCCATTGACGGGAGTTCACACCCCGATGATGAGGTCTGCTGGTATGCCATCCTCGAGCCAGGCCCAGGCTCGGGCTGCAGACGCCCCTTCCACCAGCAGGGCTGGTACATCTAGAGGTGGGGGTAGATCGGTTCCCTCGATTCCTCCGACTCTTCCTCATCCTGGGTGGCCGGATATGCCGGCTGAGCTGATGGGGTGGCAGTATGGGACCACCTCTCCGATTCCGATCCCGATAGAGCCTCCGATGCCCGGTCATCGATATGTCATTGATCCCGACTCACCGCCGGTATGTTCTACTGCTTTTCATCTATCATTCAAATGCTTAGACACTCCTTTATTCGTTGATGATTTGAGCTTGTGTCTGCAGCCACCCAGAGAGTACATGGAGGAGGTGATCGAATTGGTGGCCTCACTCGAGGGCATGGTCTTACGGAGGGAGGCACAGTTTTCTATCATGGGCTTTCAGGTACCCTTCAGTTTTCTGGCATTTATCATACTTCTGATGACATGCTGATTTCTACTGCATTGATAGGCTATTTGTGTAGAGCACATCTGACACACACCCCACTTGTACACTATGTTTACATGTACCCACTTCATGTAGTTTTTGCTTGCGTCTGCATCTGATGTACATATTTGGACTGATGTATTGAACTCTTCACTTTCAGATGCCTCCTGTGTACGCTCCGTCGCGCGCCGGGCCACCCGGGCCTTCTCAGGGAGGTCGATCGTCTGGATCTTTTCGAGGTGCTGGGTCATCTGGGCCCTTTCGAGGAGCTGGGCCATCCAGGCCTTTTCAGGGAGTTGGGCCATCCAGGCCTTTCCGAGGAGCTCAAGAAGGGTCCTCTCGCAGACGCAGGGCACATGTTATAGAGGCGGAGCCCGATGAGGAGGAGGAGGAGGAGGTTACAGACCGTCAGTCAGAGACATCTGCTGAGGAGGGGGACTCCGGTCTTGGTTCCGGGAGTGGAGGCGAGGCTGAGGGGGATCCTGAGGACGACAGCTCCGACCCGGATGATGATGGTGGTGCAGAGGTTGTCCCGCAGAAGAGGACGAAGAGGGCCTCTTATTACTGCTCTTGAGAGCACAGATGCGGTTGTTCCCTGTTTTATTTATCTTTTTGCTAGTAGTTGTAGCACATTTGTACATTATCAGGCAGTTTATTTTCTGTAAAACTTGTACCTTAGTCTGTAAAATGTTGTAACAAGCGAGGCATGATGGGATGAAACAGCTTTTGAAAAAAGTATTGTATTTTAAACACTTAGCATCGTATTGCA